TAGGCGTGTGGGACGCATGCGCACGGTCCCACTGAGGGTTTCGGTGGAGCTGCCCATGGGGCCGCGAAGCGTTGTAAAGGGTGGGTGGAAATGCCAAATTGAATGTGGGGGACGCACGCGGGCGGCCCCACTGGCAGCTTTGGTGGGGTTCCCTATGGGGCCTCGAAACGCTGTACTGGGTCTGTGAAAATGCCAAATTGGGTGTGGGGGGCGCATGCGGGCGGTGGCCCCGGAGGCTTCGGTTGAGCTCCCTATGGGGCCACGGAGCGCTGTACTGGGTGGGTGACAATGCCAAATCGAATGCGGGGGACGCACGCGGACGGTCACATTGGGGGCCTCGGTGGGGCTCCATATGGGGCCACGAAACGCTGTACTGGGTGGGTGACAATGCCAAGTTGGGTGTGGAGGACGCATGCGGGCGGTCACACTGGGGGTTTCGGTGGGGTTCCCTATTGGGCCACGAAACGCTGTACTGGGTGGGTGAAAATACCAAAATGGCTGTGGGGACGCATGCGTGCGGTCCCACTTAGGCTTCGGTTGAGCACCATATGGGGCCACGAAACATTGTACTGGCTATGCGAAAATGCAAAATTTGGTGTGGGTGACGCATGCGCGCGGTCCCACTGAGGGCTTCGGTGGAGCTCCCTATGGGGCAACGAAACGCTGTATTAGGTGTGTGAAAATGCACAATTGGGTGTGGGGGGCGCAAGCGGGTGGTCCCACTGGGGGCTTTGGTGGAGCTCCCTATGGGGCCGCGAAACGCTGTACTGGGTCGGCGAAAATGCCAGATTGGGTGTGGGGGACGCATGCGGGCGGTCCCACTGGGGGCTTCGGTGGGGCTCCCTATTGGGCCACGAAACACTGCACTGGGCCTTTCAAAATGCCAAATTGGATGCGGGGGACGCATGCGGGAAGCGCTGTACTGGGTGGGTGAAAATGCCAAATTGGGCGTGGGGGACGCACGCGGGCGGTCCCAGTGGGTGGTCCGGTGGAGCTCCCTATGGGGCCTCGAAACGCTGTACTAGGCGAATGAAAATGCCAAAATGGCTGTGGGGGACGCACGCGTGCGGTCCCACTGAGGCTTCGGTTGAGCTCCATATGGGGCCACGAAACATTGTACTGGGTATGCGAGAATGCAAAATCTGGTGTGGGTGACGCATGCGTGCGGTCCCACTGAAGCTTCGGTGGAGCTCCCTATAGGGGCAACGAAACGCTGTGCTGGGCGAGTGAAAATGCTAAATTGGGTGTGGGGGACGCATGCGGGCGGTCCCACTGGGGGCTTCGGTGGAACTCCCTATGGGGCCACGAAACGCTGTGCTGGGTGGGCAAGAATGCCAAATTGGGCGTGGGGGACGTATGCGGGCGGTCCCACTGGGGGCTTCGGTGGAGCTCCCTATGGGGCCACGAAACCTGTGATGGATGTGCCGAAATCGGTGGGGGACGCATGCGGGCGGTGGAGAGGAGGGGGATGAGGAAGAGATGAGGACGGGAACGCGGGGACCATCTCCTCAAAACGAGGACCCAACACCACAGGATGGTTGGAAAATAAAGAGGAGGAGGAGAGGAGGCGGAAGGAGGAGGAGGAGGAAGGAGGAAGAGGAGGGGGGGAGGAGAGGGAGGATTAAGAGGAAGGAGGAAGAGGCAGCGAGGAGAGAGAGGAGGAGAGGAGGCAGGAGGGAGGGAGGAGAGGAGGAGAGGGAAGAGGAAAGTGGGGGGAGGAGGGAGGAGGAGGAGGAGAGGAGGAGAGTGGGGGAGGAGGAGGAGAGGAGGAGGGAGGAGGAAGGAAGAGGAGATGAGGAGGAGAGGAGGAGGAGGAGGAGGCGGCCGTCGCCTTCCGACCAACAAGTGGCCCCCGGAGGCGCGCCAGAGTCCGGGCAGCCAGGTCCAGTGCCCCCCCCGGCGGGGTGCGACCCCCACCACGGGGGCGCGCACAAATCTGGGTTAGCGATAGGTAAAAAAAGGACGTAAATATAAAAATAAAATTATATGTAAAATAAAAACTATAAAATAAAATATAGAAAAGTATTTTAGAGAAAAGGAACCTAAAAATAGATGATTAAAAATAACAAAAATATCTAAACACTTCCATCAACACTCACACCATCCTCACCAACCAGCACAAACAACACGCACGACCATAACCCCCAACCCCACACCTCCCGTCCCCCTCCCCACGCTCCCTCCGACACCCTCCCACACCTCGACCCTTCACACCTCACGACATACGCGAACCCGCCCGATCCTCCCTCACCCACCCAACTACACACCTACACCCCGCTCTGAACCCCAACTCCGCTACCCCACCCACCCCCATTCCCAACCGCCTCAGCTCCACCACCCGTTCCGCCCACCAACCACCGTCCCCCCTCCCTCGCGACCACCCACTCAAACCTCCTAGCACGCCCACCCCCCACTTCTCGCGCCCGCTCCACAGCCCCTTCCCGCACCTGCGCCCTCCTAATTTACGCCGCCTGCTCCCGAATTTCGCCAACACTGCCTCCCGGGCCCACCCGCACGGCACCTCACTCCCCCACCCGCCGCCCGCTTGGTCGTGGCACAGGTCGCGCTTCCCCGCTGATCCATTTTGTTCGCTACGTCGGATCTCAGGGGAATTGGCGCGCGGTCGCCAGATCCGTGGATCGGGGGAGGCGCCCTCCCCAAGAGGCGGCCGATGGCGCCTCGTTCGGCGGCGGCAATCGGCGATTTCCTGTGGAAGCGGGGCCCGTCGCAAATCCACGCCGCCTTAATCCATGTGTGCGATCGCCTGACCTCCGCCGCCCCCCACCCTCCCACCCCCCTAGGCGCTCTACCCCTGGCGCCCGCCTGAGCGCGGTGGCGCAATCGCGCGGCCTAATGGGGGGGGAGGGTGTCGGTCGAAGCCAGGGCTCGACCAAACCAATGCTCTCCGTTCTCGTTTTGTCTTCGTTTGCCCTCGCTCTGTTCTCGCTCTGCCTTGCCTGCCGCAGAACAAGATTAGACGTGAAACGGTCCAAAAAATCGCCAAAACACCGTTTCTCGGCAACTCCGAAGGGTGTGGCTTGCAAAGGTGTGGTTTGCAACGCGCACCCTGGGGGGCGGGCGAGGACCTCGACAGAGCTTTCCGCTGCGCCCCGAGGAGGCCCAACGAGCGCAGCGTGGACCCCCCGCCCCCCCGCCCCCCCGAGCCCCAATGACCCGGATCGAAGACCACACCCCGTCGTAGCCACACCCTGTGGTAGTCGCTGAGCTTAGATCGAGCCCTGATCGAAAGCTCCCCCCCCATTGTGGCCGACCCAGTTGGCCGACCCGGCCAGAACGGACAAAGTGTCAACCTGGCGTCGGTTCTTCAAAGATTGTGAGAGATTTCAAAATTCGTTTTGGGAATCCCGATTATTGCGCCGTGCAGTCGATTATCGCGCGTTCGATAGTGCCGACCTCAGGGCTCTAGCTGTCGCACAGCTCTCGCAAATTTGGAGCAGCGGTGGTGATATTCCCAATATTTTCCCATATGTTCTGGGGTTTTGTCTTCCCCCCCACTTCCCATATTTTCCTATATTTTCTGGGAATCGCCGATTAATTGTGTCTGTGTGTTTTTGTCCCCTCCTGAGTGGTGTTCTCCAGGGGTCTGCTGCAGGCAAGGCTCGGGAAGGCGCCCCTGCCCGGGGCGGCCGGCGATGCGTCGGCGGTGTGCATCGGCGGCGCCGGCGCGCAGCAGGCCGGGCTCCGTCGCCGCTGCATCGGCGACGCGGCGCGATCCATCGACCCCATCAGTACTGAAGGGACCCTGGGACACACAAAGAAGTGCACACAAACAAAAGACTTCCCCATGTTTTCCCATCTTCTCCGGGTCTGTGTCTTCCCGCCCATATTTTCTATATATTTTCCCATCTTTTCCTGGGACTCGGCGATGAATTGTGTCTGTGTGTTTTTTCCCCTCCTGAATTACGCGGGCCCCATCCGGGCGAAGAAGAGGCACGGGTCTTGCGCGGTGTGGCACGGCGGCCTCACGCCGCGGCCCCCGCGTGCCGCGCCAGCGCGGCACGCTGCGGTGGAGAAGCGGGGGCGCGCACGCGCGACCTTGCGCGGGCGGCTTATACGCTCGAATGTCGGCGCAGTGGACCTCGTTTTCTTCGGGAGTTGCATCGCCGATGCATCTGCGACGCGGCGAGATCCATCGACCTCGTCTACACTCGGACCCCGTCTAGGAGGCCTAATTAGGGTGTCGAAACTCCCCCCCCAGTTGCGGCCCGTCCGACGCACAGCCCTCGTCGAAGCTGCCCCCAGTTGCCCGCGGGCGGAAGACATGTGCGTATCAGCGACCTCGCGGGCTGGGCCCCTGGGCCGCGACTCCGCGGATATGGAGCGTTTTTCAGCGGTTGCCCCGCGCGGAACGTATCCGTGCGACCGCGATCCGTGGGATCGCACTCCGGAATCCAGACCGCGAGGGCGCGGATGCAAATATCCTAGATGGGGGAAACGTGTCCTGTGGGAAACGCGTCCTGGACCCCGGGGCCGTCCCCCAGGACGAGGTTCTTCCTGAGTCGTTTTCTGACGGTCCCGGGACCGATGGAGTTCCCCGGACGCCAGAAAACGGCGAAAAAGCTCAGGACCCCTGTCCCTCAGGACCCGCTTCCCCCCTGGCGAGGATCTGTTCGCCGCCTGGGCGCCGCTCCATGCGGGGGCCGATGAAGTGGGGGGGGGAGACGGGTGCACTTCTCGGGCGGGCCCGAAGGAGCCCCCTTTCTGCAGCCCTCGCTGCCCCCCCCCGCCCCCAATGGCTCGCCCTCCCCGACCAGCCACAACTGGGGGAGCTGTGGTCCTGACCCCCCTGGGGGAACCCATCAAATCGGCGATCTCTCGAGAGGGGCGTCGAAATCGATGGGTCCCCCAGGGGGGGAAGGACCACAGCTCCCCCAGTTGTGGCTGGCCTGCCCCCCCCCCCTTGCTTGCGCGATGCCCAGCCCAAGCCGCTCGTGACCGGTTGCGGCGGGCCCGACGCGCCGGGGCGGAGAGAGCACGGCCTGGGGCGGTGCTCCAGCAGGAGGTGCTCCGAGCGGAGCCCTCGCGCCCCTGCTCCAGACGGCCTGGCGCGGAGCGCCGGCGGGTGGCGGGTCGGGGGCAGCCAAGGTCGCGCGGGGGCCGCGGGAGCGAGGGGCCGCGGGAGTCTTCGAAGCTTCGGGGCTCGAAGTCGGAGGCTCGAAGGTTCTGAGAGTCTCTCGCCCTTGCTGTCTTCGAAGCTTCGGGGCTCGAAAACCGAGGCTCGAAGGTTCTGAGAGTCTCTCGCCCTTGCTGGTCCGCCGGTGGGCTGCTCGTCGCCACGGCCGGGTTCGCCTGGAAACCCTGGTCCGAACGCACACAAGAGCATGTCGGGGGGTCGACTTTTGACCCCCGACTCTGACGGAGGGGTTTAGGGCACATCCCCTTTCCTCCCCTCGCCTCCACCACCTGCTCCTCCACCCCCTCCACCCCCGCCGCCGCATCTTCATCCTCCTCCTCCTCCTCCTCCTCCTCCTCCTCCTCCTCCTCCTCCTCCTCCTCCTCCTCCTCCTCCTCCTCCTCCTAAGTAATTCCTCCTCCTCCTCCTCCTCATCCTCCTCCTCCTCCTACGTAATTCCTCATCCTCCTCCTCCGCCTCCCCTCCTCCTCCTCCTCCTCTCCTCCTCCCCTCCTCCTCCTCCTCCTCCTCCTCCTCCTCCTCCTCCTCCTCCTCCTCCTCCTCCTCCTCCTCCTCCTCCTCCTGTCGTCCCTCCCTGAAGGACAACTCCTCCATGCAACGGCCGCACGCACGGGAGGAGCCGCCGGGCCCCCAACTGGTGCCGCCCAAGTCCTCTTCCCCCCTCCCAAGCAGACTCTTCCACGCCTGGCGTTTTCGAGAAGTGCCACGGCACAGTGATCGAGCCAAAAGCTGTGTTTCGTCTCTGTCTTGTGTTCGCTCTCCCTCGCTGTGTGTCTGTTCTGCCTCTGCTGCGAGACGAAGTCAAGACGAGAACGGTCCACGATATCTACAAAAGACCGTTTTAGCTCGATTCCTGGTCTGGGGATCCCGTCGTGATCTTTCTGAAGGGGCCCCAGGACACACAAAGAAACACACACAGCTAAAAAGATTCCCCATATTTTCCCATCCTTGTGGGGCTCTCGACTTCCCCCCCCACCTCCCACAGTTTCCCATATTTCCTGGGGAATCGACGACTGCTCGTGCCTGTGTGTTCCTGCTGCCTCCCGAGACTCTCGCGACGCCGCGGCTTCTCTCGCGGCGTCGACGCGCCTCGGGCCCTGGACGGGCGGCCGGCGGAGGCACGGACGTGCTCGCGCCGTGGGAGAACGCGACGCTTAAGTCGGGCCTGTCCTCCTACAGGGAGATTCTGGACGAAAAATTACAAATACCCAGAAAATACCCCAACCAATGCTCGAAAATACTCAAACAATAGTCCCCTGACCATTTGTCAAACTATTTTTGAATATTCCCCCTGTTATGGGGGACCGGCCCGACTTGACACGACGGGGCCAATGTTAGGAGGGAACTACTGGGAGGTTTTCGTCGGAAGGATTACAGCGAATGAAACCCCATTGGGGGGCTGTTACGCCGGAGTGGGCCTCGGAACAAGCGGGATTGCGCCGGATTCAGCGGGATGAAGCGGGATCAGCCGCTAAATCAGAAATTGGACCTCCCAGGAGTTGCGTCCGAGCCAGCGTTTGCCGCGCTCGGCCTCCGGGGGCCCTCGCGGGGCCCCAGGACCGTCAGAAAACCGGTCAGAAAACGTGTCGGCACCGGGGAAGGGTAGCTAGCGGCGGCGAGCGAGGGTGAGGCGAGAAGGAGGAGGCCTTCTCAGAAGGCGGCGGGACTTCTCAGAAGCCCTCGCGCCTTCCGATGAGCTCGTCGCGCCGCCAGGGAAGGCTCAGAGAGCTTCTCCCGAAGGCCGGAGGACCTGCGAGCCTTCTGAGAGAGCCTTCTCCTTCTCACTTCCCCCCCTCGCTCGCCACCGAGGGCGAGGACTTCCCCGGGCCGCGCATGGAAAAAACCGGGCATCGCATGTCTGGGAGCACACCGTCAGGAAGAAAGTGCGTTGCAGAGGGCATCCGAAGGTTGGGCGTCGAGCCGGAGGGGAGGAGGCGGAGGGGGCGGGGCTTCCGAGCCCTCTCCGAGGACACGGATGGCTTCTCAGAGGGCCTGCCCCCTCTCACTGGGTGGGCCCAGTGTGCACCACCGCTGCCATGTGTAGGAGGGAGGAGGAGGAGGAGGAGGAGGAGGAGGAGGAGGAGGAGGAGGAGAAGGAGGAGGAAGAGTCCGTAGCCATTTGGGCTCAAGCGGCATTTCCCCTGCTTTCAGCGGGGGCTCTTCACTTCCTCTTCATATCCCATGCCTCGTCGGGGCACTGCTGTCAGACATGGCGCGGCTGTGGCTTGGGCTCAGTCGGTGGGAGAGGCCGCCGATCTGATGACGGCCATCACAGAGCGAGCTGCTAGAACTGCCAAAGTTCCTGCTGCAGCTGCCCCGCCATCGCCTGCTGATCTTCCTCACTTGGACATCGAGGCCCAGGCAGTGCTCGGCGCCGCAGCCGAGCTTGTGGCCATCCTGGGAGGCAGCACGTTGGCAAAAGACCTGGAGACGGTTCGCCAAGCTGGAACCAGTATGCCTTCTCACCTTATTCGTGATTGTCGTATCCTCGATGGTGCCTCTGCGATGCTTCGGCACCCAGGTGTAGCAGATGATGTATTGCGCCGCCTCAAGGATTGGTTTGCATGCAATCGTGCTGCTGTACATCCTGCTCCCGCATCGGAGTACGAGTCGGACAACAGTGGTTTGGTTTCGCTTGTCACGGACAGCGACCGCTACTACTTGGCACCCAAGGAGAAGATCAATGAAAGCACCGTGGACATGGAGAATGAGGAGCCCCTGAAGATGGGAGGTTCGGTCAGTGGGCCCATGATTTTCGATATCAGCGGCGACGTGGAGGAAGAATTCTGCTCTGAATGTCCTGGGATCTCTTCGGAGACCTCGCGTAACTCCTCCGAGGACTCCTTCGACGCGGACGGGGAAGGGCACGGCCTTCCCGAGGCGCAAGAGCATCCGATGGGCGCCGGCAAGGGGAAGGCACAGGAGTTTGCCACCCCAATGTCTGCAGTGCCTAGTGCTCTTCAGGATGATGACACATCCACCTCCTCCCGCAGTCAGCAGTCGGGGAGGAAGCCCTTCTTCATGGACCAGCTTGCTCATTCTATCGTGAAGATGAGTTTGCCCATAGAGTGCAACCCCCTCAATGAGGGAGCGGTCGGGCGGGACATGATCATCGCCTACCTGGAGTCGTGCGACGCCAGCCACGCGAGGAGCTTCTACGGCCTGGAGGTGGGCCTGCTCCAGGCGGTGAGGCGGCACCTCCGTCTCAGCCAGGCTCCCGAGCTCCTGCCGTGAGGCTGAGCGACAGCGCCGTTTTACCCTTCACACCTTGAACAGCGAAGCGAAGAGGTTCGTTTCGAGTACTATAGGTGTTTCTGCCAGAGTCCCTCGAGCTTCTCTAGCCGCTGAGGGTCTCTCTGGTCCTCCTCCCCCGTCCTCCCCCACCGCCAGCAGCAGGAGTGGCACGCTGCGGCCACAGCCCGTGCTCTGTTCGAATGGGGTCGGGAAGAGCGGGGTGTTAGATGGGGAGGCTGGCGCGAGCGAGGCACCGCCCAGGGAGGCGGGCCTCGTCTGGACGGGTGCCGGGCGGCACGCCGAGCGCCGGGGCAGCGCGGGCTCGCCCAGGCTGGAGACGTCGGACGCGTCTGTCTTCGTGTTGCCCCTCTCTCCCCCCTCCTCTCGGCCTGCCTTCTTTTCCTAGGTGCGCCCCCTAGTCCCCCTTCCACATGTTCTGTTCATCCTCGTGCATTGCATGAGCTTTGAACTCACCAGCGCATCAGTGCACCAGAGGAGGAGGAGGAGGAGGAGGAGGAGGAGGAGGAGGAGGAGGAGTAGGAGGAGGAGGAGGAGGAGGACGAGGACGAGGACGAGGACGAGGACCTCCTCATCATGCCTTCTCCCCCGACCTACGTGTGGTGGCGGTGGTGGAAAGCTTGCCCACCATCAGCACTTCCCCCCTGGGCGCGCCGCCGAGGGGTCCACGCAGGTTTCCTGGCCCGGCGCTGGCATCAGGGACCCCGAGGCCAGGAACTTGCCGACCTGACAGAGACGCGGGAAGTCCCACCTAGCGAGAACGAAGAATCGAGAAGGGTTCGACCAACGGCTGCACCTTTCTCGGGCGCGCCACTGTCCTGGTTCATCAGAGGCCCCGCTCAGGAGGCCCTGATGGTCAAACCCCTAAGCCGTGCTCAGGACTTATAGAGGACACGAGACGCGATAGACGGGACACACGTCGGCGGGCGAGCGAGGGGGGGGGGGGAGTGAGAAGGGGCGGGCCGTCTCAGGAGGCTCGGAAGTCCCCCCGCCGTGCGAGAAGTGTTCTGGGCCTCTGAGAAGCGCGGGGGGCTCCCGAGAAGCCCCGCCGCCTTCCGAGACGGCCTTCTCCTCCTCGCGTCACCCCCTCGCTCGCCGCCGAGCACGGGTGCCCTCGACGCTTCCGGAGTCACCGCACCCATCGGACCCGACCGCGTCTGTATCATGGCCACGCGCTCGGGGCCCAGAGGCCTCGGTCGCAGCCCCCTGGAGGCGCAGCCCTCCCGCCGCTCTCGCGGCGCGCCCGGCTCGCGCGGGGCGTCCCCGTCGGTCGGAAGGAGCAGGCAGAACCATGCGGTAGGAAGGCGTTGGCAGCAGATCGGGCTTCCACCCGTCCCCTGACGAGGAGGGAGGAGAGAAAACTGGTCGACCCCTGGAGTAGGAAAGAACGCCTGCCTTTGAACGACCGGCGTGTGTCCATGTGATCGCGCATCCATGGGATAGCGCTCCGATATCCAGACCGCGAGGGCACAGAGATTCATGTGTTCGCCGCTTGTGGCAAGTTGGACAGTCCTTCGCAGCAATCGCAACGCAACGTCACGAGAAGGCTGGTCCGACAGCGCCTCGCCATTTGCCAGCCCATGCAGCCAGAGGCGCACCAGATCCTCCAGTCAAGTAATTCAGGAATTATGGCTGCTACATTGTCGAATAGCTCGCGCACGCGAGGCCGCTTCGGGGGAGTCCGCTGAAGAGACCAAGAGCCACCTCGAAAGGTCCATGGGTAGCAGCAGACTCTCGGGGGGAAATCGCGAAGAAATTGGCCCACCGTGGCCCTCTGAAAGTGAAGGTCCGAGAGACCATCCGGCGGGCCCAAAGTTGGTTCTTGCGCATACCTCACAAGACGACGAGGTTAAAACCAACGCCGAGCCCTTCACGAGGACCCCAAGAGACGCCCAAGAAGCTCCCCTGATGCCCACGAAGGGTCTCCAATGCTCAGAGCCTTCTTAGGGGCAGAGCCATTGAGATGCATCCTTCTGGCCTTCTCTCGATTTTCGTGGCACGGCGGTGGGCATTCCAATGCCAAGACGGCCCTAACAGAACAAGGCCCCAACACAACTCCAAGAGCACACAAGAGGCCCGCAAGATGTTCCCAAGAGGGAACAGAAACAACCCAGAAAGCCCACAAGAGTACCTAAGAAGACTCCAAGATGGCACCGATAAGTTTCAAGACGGCGCCAAGATGGCCCCGCGTTGTCAGAGATGGCCAGCGATAGCTCAATTTGTCTCGCAGCTGGTCTTCACACTGACCCCAACATGTCGCGAGATTGCTTCAAGGTGGTCATGGGGCCTCCCAAGACGACCCCTGCGAGGCCAAAGTCAGTGCAGATCAATGACGCTTCAATAAATTTAGCCTCCTTGGACACACATGGGCCTAACAAGCCAAGAGGTGGTCTTACCACTTTCCAAGACGGCCTTGCGAGAGGCCCAACACAGCCTCCAGGGGAGCCCAACAGAACCAATGCTGGCTCAAAGGTCCCAAGAGAGTCTCAAAGCCCCACAGAGGCCTAAGAAAGGCCCCAAAAAGGCGACGAGAGAACCCCGAGAACCCCTGGTGCGCTCCGCGCATGCGGCGCCGCTGCTGCCCCGAGGTGGCCCGGCGAGCGCCGAGCTGCTCCCGTGAGGCAGAGCTCTAAGAGAACTCCCAGGATGATATGGTGAGGGACTCCCTCACCCTCTCATCCTGGGAGTTCTCTTACGTGCCCAACTATGTACATGAACACGGCCCCTCGGTTCGCGAGACGGGCCGCGTTATATATACGAACATGTGTACAGTGCGTGGTCTCGAAACCAGCGTGGATTCATGTACGTGTACGTCCTTATTTCGCTCCTGAGGGAGGGCGAAGACGGTCGGCCAGAGCAAGCTGCCACATTCGCGATGAATGCCACGGCCGCCCTCCTCTGTGAAGGAGTCCCCCAGGGCCCGGAGCCCCCTGCGCGCACACTCCTGAACGAGCACCCCCACCGCATATGCACAGTGCACTGAAACGGAGTGCAACGTGGTGAGGTGCCATGCAGCAGAAGGCACAGCAGTGCACAGCAACTCACCGCACAGTACAGTTTGGAACAGCATCATCATGCATCCTTGAAAAACATGGCACAGCATAACGAAAGCATATAAGGTAGCATGGCGTGGCATCACATAGCGAGCACATTGCGCACTATGGCATCACGCAACATTCAGTAGCATCGCATAGCCTACAATGGAACAGCATAACACAGCACGACGTCGTATGGCCAAGCATGACACTGGACAGCAGTAGCGCTAGTGCAGCACAGCTCCAGCACAGCCTGACAATATCATAGCACATCAAACGTGTAACGCTGCACAGTACGGCTCTGCATAGCACCGCACAACTTTGCACAAAATTCGGATCGAGAAGCCGACGCTCGAGCCACGGAAGAACGGGCCTGACGGGCTCTGCCAGAGAGCACCCCTCGTCACGAATCGGATGAGAAACTCTTCGTCAAGGCGAATCGGGGGAATAAAAACACGATGTACACTACACCAACCTCCCAAGCGACTACTGTTTCCCCACGCGAGCTTCAACCGATACTGGAGGGAGGAATTACAACCAAATTTAACTTCCCACTCGTCAAGTGCGCGCGCCCGTGCAAATGCGTAAGATAGGGAACCAGCTGGTAGTTACACCACAAGGAGTTTCCTCGTAGTGATCTTCCCACTTACTGCCGCTGTAAAGTTCAGGATTTTACCTGAGGCCACGTCTTCCGAGACCCGTCCTGAGCCATCCCCGACATAGTCTGCAGCCGTTGACATACTTGATGTCAGCCTCTGGTCTCTCCGGCTGATAATCAGACGTTTGGACGGTTGGCAGGCATCGAAATTCTTGTTATGATAGCTCAGAGGTCGAAACGAAGGCCATGCATTTACATGCCAACGGCGACGGCAAGGGGTGCTAGCTGGAGAGGGGGGCAAAGTGCGAGAGCAGCACAAGAGCATTGTATGTCACTCGCTTGCAGAGGGAAACGACAGGGAGAGAGCTGCGCACCGCCTGCGGCGGCACAACTCCACCAGGGAGGCGGAGGAGGTGCGACGAGGGAGGAGGGGAGGAGGGAAGAGAGAGGACTGAGGGGGAGCAGCGAGCAGGGGAGGGGGGAAGGAGGCGAGGGGCGAGGGAGGAGGGAGGAGGGCAGCAGGAGGAGCGGGGAGGAGGGAGGAGGGAGGAGCAGAAGGAGGAGCACGGGCAGGAGCAGGGAGCAGGGAGCAGGCGGCACGAGCAGGGGACAGGCTGCGCAGGGAGGAGCGCCCAGGCGGCGGGCTCGGGAGGGCGCGGCGGCCGGGCCCGGCCTCGGACAGCATCCTGCCCATGCCCGCCTGGGGGGCGGCGGGGCGGCGGGGCCCGCGCCTCGCCAGGGCTCGAGCGAGACCGTGTTTTTACGGCCTCGTGCTGCCTTGGCTCTCCTTCGTTGCGTGCTCTCGTTGCAGTCGGACTTCAGTGGGCAGGACACGCGAGGGGACAAAAGGCCCTTCCGAGGAGGGCCACATGGCCACAGGGATGTAGGAAGCACGGGCCGCGAGATGCAGGACACAAGGGCACCCTTGACTTGGCAGGGTCGACCTACTAATCTGGGCCGACTGTAGTCTGCCTTTGCTGCAAAGCAACGAAAAGACATGAGGTCGAAGACGAGCCACGGAATCGCCAGAACACCGTTTCGCTCGCGCCCTGGCGCGAAGCCCGCAGGAAATCCCGTGGGGGGCCTGGTGGGAGAACGGACGGGGGAGGGGCCCGCCTCCCCAGCCTCCCGGCGCACAGGCTCCCCAAATGTCCCCGCGACGCTCCGGGCAGAAAACGAAGGAAGAAGAAGAAGAAGAAGAAAAAGAAGACAACTAAAGGGGAATAAGGAAAAAGAAGAGAAAGAAGACAAGAAGAAGAAGAGGAAAAAGAAGAAGAGGAAGAAGAAGAAGAGGAAGAGAAAGAGGAGGAAGAAGAAGAAGACAAAAAAAGAGGAAGAAAAAAAGGGCCAGAGAGGCAAGACGAGCGGGCAGAGAAGGAGACAGAGCCGAGCGAAGGAGGGCGCGGGGGGGAGAGCAAGCAAAGCAGGAGGGGAAGCAAGAAAGAGGCCAAAATGGCCTGGGAGGGCGAGGGGGCCCAGTCCGTACCGTCGGACACCAGGCCCCCCCGTCCTCCTCCACCCCTCCCTCCCAGAACCAGCTACCAGACCACCCAAACCTAACAAATTTCGGGTTGGGGGGGGTACGGGTTCCACATGTGTTGTTGCAAAGGTTCCCCAACGCCCCCGCCCCACTGGAAAGAGAAGGGCAATGGGGGCCTTCGGGTTGGGTCTCGGGGTGGTTTGGGGGGTGGTGATCCCGCCCTCCTTACCCCCTCACCCTCCCCTCACACCCTCTCCCTCCCTGTGGAGGCCTGGAAATGGGCACCAACACCAACATAGGGGGCTGTCTCCACAAGGGGTAAAATGATCCTACATTTCGGTGTTGGTGGCAATATTTCGGTCACCTTGGAAGCCAGAATAGTACCACCATCACCGAGATCGGGATCATCTTCCCTTGGTTGAGGCACACCACCGATATTGGTGTTGTATGGAGCCGAACTCTATACACCGACATGTTTTCCGGGCCCGCACTGAAACTCGCACAGAAAAGCGGATCCTGGTGTATACGGGATCCTGGTGTATACATGTTTCGTTGCTTCCTCGGCAAAGCGGGGAACAAGTTTACACCACACCACCCCGATGTCGCCCCCGACCCTACAGAAAAATCCTGGGATTGAAAAACGGCCCGCCACTGGTAATGTATGTGCTCCAGCTTCCGATGCCGGTGTCGACCTCTGGGCCTCCGATCCCCCCCCCTGTGGCACCGCCCTGGGGCCCGGCCTCGAAGCCGAAGTCGGCCGCGCCGTCCCAGCAGTCGAGGCTCTGGGCGGCCGCCAGGGGCCTCCCCGGGTCCGCCGTGCTGTCCACGGCGGTGCTCGCGGTGGTCTCTATCGGCGGGTGCTTCGCCTCCCGCTCGCGCCGCCGCCGCCCGCCGCCGCCGCAGCCGCCGCCGACGATGACGACGACGACGACGACGACGACGACGACGACGACGACGACGACGACGACGACGACGACGAGGACGACTCATCCTCCTCCTCCTCATCCCCGTCCTCCGCATCCATGTTTTCCTCCCCCCTCTCCTCCTCTCGACCTCCTGCTCCTCCTCCTCCTCCTCCTCCGCCTCCTCCTCCTCCTCCGACTCCTCCTCCTCCTCCTCCTCCTCCTCCTCCTCCTCCTCCTCCTCCTCCTCCTCCTCACCCTCAATCATTATCCCTTGTTGATATGTACTGCCGCTCTTCTCTACACCTAGCTGGCCGATAGAAACCCAAGCTGGAGAGTCCCATCCTACTTGTGGAAATACAATGCAAAATCAGCATCGCCGTTCGCATGGATATCACATCGTCCATGTTGCAAAATGCACAGCAAGAATCGGACGGGGCGCACATCCGGTGCCAACGGCCGAAATATCGTTCTCGCCTCAACGCCACCCTCATGTTTCTAAAGAATTTAATTCCCGCTGGGGCGTGGCGATACCCTCGGACGCGGAGAGGCTATCTAATTTCGTCTTCTCTTCGGGATCTTCGGACAAGTCTTCCGCATCCAATAGTATTGGTGGCGCAACGCTCACTACGAAGCTGCTCAACCTCCTTGCTTGCCAGCACATGCTGGGCCAACAAACTGTCTAGCTTCTCCTGAGCCTCTCGCAGCACACCGCATTGCTTCGTGACCTGCTCTGTAACACGTTCCTTTTTGATTTCTGCCGCCTGCAAACGGTGTCCAGTGTTGCTGTGGAGTGCCAGCTCGGACTTGAGAATGGCGAGCTGCCTGCGGGCTTCCTGCAACTGTGCGTCCAAGCCCGCGTTGCTGCGTCACTGCCTGGAACCCTGTCAACAGCAGTACGAGCCCCCTCCAACAGTAGAAGTACGGAGCGTGAAAACGACCACAGCCACTGCTTTCTTTTGATGCCGCCTTCCAGCCCGCAGCAACAAAGCAGTGGCTGTGGTCATTTTCGTGGAGCTTGGCACCAGGGAAATGGCCACAACCACTGCTTCTTTTCCGGCCGGCTGGAAGGCGGCGCAAACAAGAAGCAGTCAGTGGCTGTGGTCATTATCCCATCCCGCATGTACTTAGGTGCGCCGATGACCTATGTCTTCGAAAAGGCTCCTGGGCGAATACGTGTAATGCCCGCCCTTTTGGGCTGTTCGCCCCTACCGTCGCCGCCGACGAGCTCGCCTCCCAGGCCTCCAGCGCGGCCGCTCGCTGGGGCGCTCGCCTCCCAGGCCTCCCGTCCCGCAAGAGGCAGTGCCGCCACCAACACTTTGCCACCAGCGTGTCGAACATCCCCTGAAGAACTGCAAGCGCTTCGGTGATGGCTGCATCGGCCACGAGGAGGCCGACGCATCGGCATCGGCCACGTGGAACCCTGTCAACAGCAGTACGAGCCCCCTCCAACAGCAGAGGTAGTGCCGCCACTGGCACTTTGCCACCAGCGTGCCGGACGTCCCCTGGAGGACTGCAAGCGCTTCGTTGATGCCTGCATCGGCCACGAGGAGGAGGCCGACGCTGGCCAGAGGGAGCACGACCGTGTGCTCGATCCGCCCGCTCATGACAAGCCAACAGCACACACCCACACCCATAAGGGGGTCGGAGAGGGCTTTGGGTGCGTGTTGTCGGATGGGGGTCCCCGCTCGAACGGGAGCGTTGCCCAGGGTCCGACAACCCGCACCCATACCCATTACAAGTCCTCCTCCCAACGACCCCCCTATGGGCATGGGTGTGTGTTGCTCGCTCGTCATGTTCATGTGCAGCTCTGGCGACCAGAGAAGAGGGCCGCCCTGCCGCATCTGAAAGCCAACCGCGAGGCCCAATTCGTGTGGAGCCCGCAGCCAGCGCGCGACTAGCATGGCATGCAAAAAATCCAGGAAGAGCGTCGCCGCCATCTGCCATGCGGGAATCACGTATCGCGAAACGGAACGTTCCTGCAGAAGCTCACTAAAGGGTGATAATTGAGATCCCTCAAACTGACAGCCAATAAGACCAGCCACCGCGACTGCCGCTCTGAAGACAGCTCTGGCAAGCCCAACGTTGGGCCAGAACGGCTGAGGAGGAGGAGGACAAGGAGGAGGAGGACAAGGAAAACGACGGCGAGGACGAGGAAAACGGGGAGGGGGGAGAGCGGAGGACGAGGAGGAAAACATCGAGCAAGTGGAAGGAGGGCAAGTGTGCAGCCACTCGGGAGCAGCCAAGAGGAGGGTGTCCAAGAGGGGGGGGCGCAAATCATGACCGGCGGCATGTGCGCGGCCCAGCGGGGGGGCCAGGGACGTAATGAAATAAGAAGAGGCGCCATGAAATCTGGGGAAATATCATGGCCCCCGCCATGATATCCACCCCCCCCTAGTCAGCACCCCCCTCTTTTCCGCCCCCGAGCCACCCGCAGGGCCCGGGACTCCCCTCCCCCCGGGCGCGCCTCGCACGCCCTCTGCGGCAACCTCGGGCCGCCCGGCACGACACCGGCACGTGCCTGCGCGTCAGGGGGCGGCGCGAGGAGGCACGGACGGGACCCCGGACACTGCGCCTGTCACGCCCGCGGGGCGGCCCCGCGAGGGGCCAGGCTTAACGGGCGAAGAACGGTATTAAATAAACTGTTTCGCTATCGGGGGCGCCTGTCCCAGGGCGGCTGGAAAGTTTATACCCTTACGGTGGCACCGTAGGGGTATAAACTTTCCAGCCGCCAAGGGGCAGGCGTCCCCGACGGCGGAAAAGTTTATGTTATACCGTCATTGTGCTCAGGTCGGGCTTGTGCTCCTACAGGCGGATTTGGGGGCGAAGAATGAGAAATTGTCGAACCGATACCGCAGCAACATACCAAACATAGTGGACACATATCGTCCCCAGACAATTGTTGAAACTATTCTTGAACACTCCTCCTGTAGAGGGACGTGCCCGACTCAAAGCTGGGCGTTGGCGCCGCGGCGCCGACAAACATAAGATTACAGTCGGGGCGTTGACCTAAGGAACCCTAAACAAGGAACGAAGCCCCTTTTTTTTCATAAGTTAACCTTCGACTTGCCACCAAAAACTTCAGGAAAACATTGGGCAAGGTGTGGAACAATTAAGGAACACCGAGCCCCTCCCCAACGAAAAGAGTTCCTTCTTCAGTGCCCCGACTGTACACGCTGGGGAGCCTGCCGGCCGATTCACTCACCCTGCCGCGGCCGCTGCCGCTGTCGCGAGGGGGGGGGAGGCCTTCTAAGAAGGCGAGGGGCTCTGGGAAGGCAGGGGCCTTCTAAGAAGGCGCTAAGAAGGCGAGGGGCTCTAGGAAGGCGAGGGCCAAGAGGCTTCTAAAATCGGCTACACGTAAGAGTGACCCTGGGTAAGATTGACCTTTGGTGCGCGGCTTCACGGGGGACGCGGGGTGGCCGAAGCTGGACGCGCAAGCCGCTTCTGCCGCTTCGCGCTCAGCGATCGGGGGAGCGTTTTGGGCCCGCACCAAAGGTCACTCCGGCGAAAGGTCACTCTTACGTGTAGCCGATAAAAGAAAGCCTCCAGAAACCGGGAGGCCTCTGCGAAGCCCCTTGCCTTCTTGGAACCCTCTCGCCATCTTGGAAAGCCGTCCCCCCCCCCCCTACCCCCGTACGCTCAGGTCGGGCTTGCCCCCCCACAGGCGGATCTTGGACGAACAGTATAGAATACCCCCAACATGCTCAAGAGTTGCCAACAAATACCCGAAAGACCGTCCCCACACTATCAGTTTGACCATCCGGGAACTACTCCTCCTGTAGAGGGAGCGGCCAAGAGGGGGGTGTCCAAGAGGGGGGGGTGCAGATCATGACCGGCGGCATGTGCGCGGCCCAGCGGGGGGGCCAGGGACGTCATGAAACAAGAAGGGGCGCCATGAAATCTGGGGAAAAATCATGGCCCGCGCCATGATGTCCACCCCCCCCTGGTCATCACCCCCCTCTTTGCCGCCCCCGACTGCAGAGGGACAGGCCCGACCTGACCCTACGCGCCGCCGGCAGCTCCCGCACCTCCCCCCTCGCCCTGGCGCGAAGTCGGGCCGGCGCCTCTGCCGCGATCTGTCGGCGTCCCGGGCTCGGCCCCCGGACCCCGCGAGGCCGTCGTCGGGAGGCTGGCCGGGGTGAGAGCCGCCCCCGGGGGGGGCCACGAGAGCGCGTGGGCAAACCTCCCCCTTCGTGAAAACCTCCCTTTGAAAAACCCTCCCCTCGGTGCAAACGGCCTGGGACCGAAGCCGACAGACCTGGACCCGCAAAAGTGACGGCCGCGGCGCCCTCTCGCGACCCGAAATCGGCCAATTCACCGATCGACGTGTCAGGGTAGGAGGTCTATCAACCTCCGAAAGGGCGTGTCGACCTGCGCGCGCCATCCCTGCGCAGCGGACGCACTGCGACCCAACGGGCAACAGACAGGTTGGGCAGAGACGAGGTACAAGAAGCAGCTTCTCGTCCGGATCACTGGCTGCGGCCTCGCAGCCTCGGCGGCGCCTGCGACGACGCACCAAATGATGTTCCGAGAACCAAGAACAGTGCTATCATCTTACCACCTGAAAGCGATGCATTTCTTTCATATCAGCCAGCGTTGACTCTAGCTAGACCCGACGACTCAAATCAAGGAATCAGAGGAATCAAGCGTGCTTGGAATCCGCAACCCAGCACGCAAGAAAGGTCACAAGCAAGCGCGCAAGCAAGCGTGCAAGCGCGCAAGCAAGCAAGCAAGCAAGCAAGCAAGCAAGCAAGCAAGCAAGCAAGCGTGCAAGCGTGCAAGCGCGCAAGCAAGCAGGCAAGCAAGCAAGCAGGCAAGCAAGCAAGCAAGCGTGCGTGCAAGCGTGCAAGCAAGCAAGCAAGCAAGCAAGCAAGCAAGCAAGCAGGCAGGCATAGGCAGAAGCGTAGGCATAGGAGTTGGGGGGGAGGCATCGGCACAGGCGTGGGCATAGCCATAGGAATTAGGGGGGCCATAGGGAATTGGGGGCGGCAACGGACCGAGTAGCAGGGCTTGAGCTAGGACTCCTAGAGGGCAAAAACCTGTTTGGAGAACAGCTGGCTCCGCCAGAACTGTTCCGCGAGCATGTCGTGCAAACCACGTGAGATCATCAAAACATGACTGAACCTCTCCGCAGATCAGGACGCTTCGCCACTGCTCGGGACGAAGACGACGACGACGACGACGACGACGACGACGACGACGACGACGATCAAGCAGGAATACGTACTTCATCGTCCGTCCACTTCCCAGTGGGGCGCTGCGGCCCCCCGGGCATCTCGTGGCCGCTTGGTCGCACTGCTACTCCTGTATCGCTCCAGTGTGAGAGAGAACGCGTTTCGTGGACGCTTGCTTGGAACTGATCCCTGAACACGTCGGGAGCCGCCTCCCCTCCCCCCAGAAAAAAAAAAACCTGGCACGCCCCGGGAACCCGGTTGGGGGAGGAGGCCAGGCGACACCAGCTTCTCTAACCAACAACCCCCCCCCTCCAAAGGAGGGGAGGGGGGGTCGAACCAGGGGGGGGCCTGTTCCAAGGGCGGGGGGGTTCGAATCGGGGGGGGGCCTCTCCGTTAGTAGAATCCTGAAAGGACTCGATCAAGCTCTACAAGAATCCTACTAAGGCTGAGTGAAGCTCTACTTGAATCCTACCAGGGCTCGACCCAACTCTAATATACTACAAGGGCGCGATCCAACGTTGATAGCGTTCGAGTACGGGGCTCGATCCAACACTAGTAGAATCCGACTGGGGCTCGACCCAGCTTTACTCCCACCAGCCTTTTAGCGCGTGAGCGGTTTAGAAAGTTTCCTCTCCCAACTTCCCTCTTCCATTACGGGGAGGGTTTACCCCTCCATAGCCTCTCTGCGCAGAGGGATTTGTCCACATCCACCGCATGGGGACCGACCGACGTCCTGGGGACCAGGCGGGAGGGGGATGTGGATATGTTGGGCCCCGGGGGCCAAAATATATTCATATCCACCGCCTGTGGAGGTCCGCGAAAGTTGATCCTCCAGGCGGTGGTTCTGCATAAATCCCCACCTCGAACTCTCCCCCTGGACATGGACGGGGGGGAACCGCCAGGGGCTAGAGCGTCCAAGTTGGCTTCGGCGAGGAGGCCAAAGTCACTGATGCCACCAGGGTTTGAACCACGTTTTGGCCTCCTGGGGGGGGGGGGGGGGGGGGGGCAACGCTTATTGAAACCTCCCCCTTCTTTGATCGATCTCCTCCATGATGGCCCCACGCAGGCCCCCGAGGCTCCGAAGGGTGCCCCGAGACGGCCCCGAGGGGTATCCAGGAGGCCACAAGACGCGCTCAAGATGCCCCCCAAGAGGCTCCCAAGAGACCCCCTACATGCCCCAAGAGGCCCCACAGAGGCACCCAAGACGCCTCAAGAGGCCTCGGCGAGAGGGCCAAAATCACTGGTGTTACTGCAAAGGTTTTGACCACCTGCGGGCTTCCTGACGGGGCAACGCATGTTGGAACCTCCCCCGTCGTTGATCGATCTCCTCGAACCAAGATGGCCCCAAGATGGCCCCCGAGACTCCCAAGGGTGCCCCAAGACGGCCCGAAAAGGTACCCACGAGACCCCACGAGGTCTGGTCCACGATGCGACGCAGGAGGACATACTTAGTGCTGCGTGCCCGCCTTGGACGCGCAGGCTCACAGTACCCGCCTCCGTGATCCGCCCTGGCACGCTGAGGCGTGGAAGAACGCCAAGGTCTGCTCGGCGTGGTGTTAGAATTCTAACAGGGTGCCGCCTCCCTCGACCCGCATGACTGCCGCATGCATCGCCCCTCCTTTCCCAAGTAGATGCCCTCGTCCCCGCTCGAGTATGGTGCATCTCCAGCATGACAGCGGATGCCAAATTCCCCATTCCACACGTGCCCGCTTGAGGATGGTGCACTTCATGGCAGCCAATGCCTGAACCCTCATTCCATGAGCGCCCGCAGAGGGGTTGCGCACTTCCCGCACGGCTGCTACCTCCTAGGCCCCTCACCCCACGCGCACACCCTCGAGAATCGTGCACGCCCCGCATTCCCAGGCACTGCTCCCAAGCGTTCCAGGGTCTCCCAAGCTACGATCCGCCGTTAGAAGCGATGGACATGCGTCCCGAGCTTCCAAGACGGCCCGCGCAAGCAACAAAGGACACCAAGATGGCCCCAAATGCCTCGAAGGCGGTTCAAAAAGGCCCCAAGGCGGCCGAATATTGCTTTAAGACGGCCTAAGAGGGCCCAAAACGAAAGGGCCCAATGAGGACCTCCAACAGGGTCCGAAGAAGCCGGAATCCGTGTTTTCCCAAAGGCGTTTAAATGATTTTCGCATAATCGCCATTTCGGGCTGCCGCCAGCTCAAGACGGCCCACGAGGACTCCACGATGGCCCAAAAGGCAAGAGGCCACAGAAGTGGCTCCAAGACGGCCCAAGAGGGTCTCCCGTGGGACCCAAGACGGCCTTGGAAGGCCCGTGGACGGCCCAAGACAACGCCGAGACGGTCCCACGAAGGCCCCCGGGCACCCACCATACGGCCAAGAGGGCCCCTGGATTGCCCAAGAGAACCGTGAGCCGGAGTAGGAGGGCCCGAAGACGGCCCAAGAGGGCCACAAGGAACCACAAAGACTGCCTCACAGGAGCCAAAACAGCCCCAAGACAGCGCAAACTAGTTTCATCATCATCATCATCATCATCATCATCATCATCATCATCATCATCATCATCATCACCATCATCATCATCATCATCATCATCATCATCATCATCATCATCATCATCATCATCATCATCATCATCATCATCATCATCAGCAGCATCATCATCATCATCATCATCATCATCATCACCATCACCATCACCATCACCATCACCATCACCATCACCATCACCATCACCACCACCACCACAACCATCATCATGACTATCACCACCACCAACATCACCACCACCATCATCACCATCATCATCATTAGCCTTATCCTCCACAACAACAGCATCATTATCACCACCAGCAGCACCACCACCATCATCATCATAATCACCATCATCAGCATCAGCGTCATCCTGATCAGCATCACCATCATCATCATCATCATCATCATCACCAGCATCCTCATCATCGTCATCACATTCATCATCATCATCATCATCATCATCATCAGCATCATCATCATCAGATTCATCATCATCATCATCATCATCATCATCATCATCACCATCATCGTCATCATCAGCATCGTCCTCATCCTCATCCTCATCGTCATCATCATCATCAGCATCAACAGCGTCATCATCATCGCCATCATCATCATCACCACCACCATCATCATGATGATCATCTCCAGCACCAACACCACCACCACCACCACCATCACCATCACCATCACCATCATCATCATCATCATCATCATCATCATCATTAGCCGTACCCTCATCATCATCATCAACAACCACAGCATCAGCATGATCATCATCATCGGCATCATAATCACCCTTATCCTCGTCATCATCATCAGCAGCAACATCATTAGCCTCCTCATCATCATTATCATCATAATCGTTATCATAATCATCATCATCAGCATCATCATCATCATCCTCATCATCATCATCAGTATCATCATCATCATCATCATCATCATCATCATCATCATCATCATCATCATCGTCGTCACCGTCATCGTCATCATCAGCATCAGCATCAGCATCATCATGATCAGCAGCAGCAACATAATCTTCATTATGAGCATCGTCATCAGAAGCAACATCGTCCTCATCACCATCAGCATCGTCATCCGCAGCAACAGCAGCATCATCGTCAGCATCAGCATCAGCTGCATCATCATCACGATCATAGTCATCATCAGCAGAGACATCATCACCAGCATCAGCATCACCATCAACATCATCATCAGCAGCATCATCATAATAACCATCAGCATCATCACAACTACCATCAGCATCATCGTCATAATCATCGTCATCCCCTTCATCATCATCAGCATCATCAGCAGCATCATCGTCATCCTCATCATCATCAGCATCATCACCAGCAGCATCATCAGCATCATCGTCGTCATCCGCATCATCATCATCGAAATCAGCATCGTCATCATCAGCATCATCTGCATCATCATCAGCATCATCAGCAGCATCAGCTTCAGCATCATCAGCATCATCAGCATCATCATCATCATCATCATCATCATCATCATCATCATCATCATCATCATCATCGTCATCGTCATCGTCATCGTCATCATCATCATCATCCCCATCATCCTCAGGATGCTCATCACCCTTATCACGTCTCCCCCAAGCCTGGAGACACGAGGCGTCACGAGCGACGGCCTCCCGTGCCTCCATCGAACCGCCGCCACCCCGAATGACTCGCTGCCGACGCCCACCGCACGACGACGACGACGACGACGACGACGACGACGACGACGACGACAACGAGACGACGGCGACGGCGACGGCGACGCCGTCGGGGACGCGCCAGGAGCGCGTTTCGCGACGACGGGCGTCATATGACGTGACGCCCCCCCCCCCCCGCCGTGTGGTTCCGGCACCACAGCCGCGCCCGCGCGCACGACGCGACGAGCGACGAGCGACGACGACGACGCGACCAGCATGTAAGTGGCGATCTGCCCATTGCGCCTGTGTGCACCACAACGCTCGCGTGCACCACACCGCGCGTGTGTACCACAGCGCCTGCGTACACCGCAACAGCCGTGTGCAACGCACCGCCCGCGTATACCACAATACTTGGGAGCATTACAGCGCGGGTGTACATACATCGCAGCAGCCATGTGCAACACGACGCCTGTGTACACCACAGTGCTTGCGTGCACCGCAGCGCCTGTGCACACCACAGCGCCTGTCTACACCACAGCATCCGCGTGCAACGCAGCGCTGGTGTACACCACAGTGCCTCCGTGCAGAGGACAGGTAGGAGCATGTACGTCAGGATCTGCTGCGGACAACTAAACTCCACGCCAGGAAAATTCTGAGAATCGAATGCAACGTTTTTCCCTCCTCCCTCCTCCTCCACCTCCACTTCCTCCTCCTCCTCCTCCTCCTCCTCCTCCTCCTCTTCCTCCTCCTCCTCCTCTTCCTCCTCCTCCTCCTCCTCCTCCTCCTTTTCCTCCTTCTTACTCCGTGTCGTGCGGCTTGGTGTTTAAACGCACGTGCGCATCTCAGCATGCACCGCAGAATGGTCGATTGAATCGGTCCAGTTGGTTCTCGGACGGCCAGTTTAGCTGGAGCCTCCTGGACGCAAGTGGGAGTTAGGGTGATGCGGGCGGACTCGGGGGGACTCGTAGATTCCAGCGGCGCTCCTTTGTCCATGAAGATGTGTTTTCTCTGGAATCCACACGCGCTCCATTTCGTCACAAGGATTCGTTCTGAAATTCTATACACAACAGTGGTGCTTTGTTGCACACGGCTGATGTGGTGCACACAGGCGCCGTGGCGTACACAGGCACTGCGATGCACGCAGGCATTGTGGTGTACACTGGTGCTGTGTTGCGCACGGCTGATGTGGTGTACGGAGGCGCTGTGGTGCACACAGGAGCTGCTGTGCCTGCAGGCACCGTGGCACAAACGGACGCTATGTTGCAAGCGGCTGCTGTGGTGTACATCGGCGGCGTGGTGTACACAGGCGCTGTGGTGCACGCGGGCACTGTGATGTACACAAGCGTTGTGGTGCATATCGCCACCTACATGTTCGTGCGACCCGTCCTCCGTCATTCCTAAGCATTCCCAGACGCCGCCGGCGCGAAACGTGACGTCATCGACCCCCTCCCCCCCGGATGATTGCCGTCATCGGCCCAGACTTGAAAACAGGCTCCAGCCGCGTCCGCGCGCACGACGACGATGAGCGACGAGCGACGAACCACCAGCGACTACGACGGACGACGACGACGACGACGACGACGACGACGACGACGACGACGACGACGACGACGACGACGCCTGCGGACCAGACACATGTGCGGATTCTTACGCGGACACCTACGCGGATCCCAATGCGCACGGCGGCAGTGCCCGGAGCGCACTGGGGGGGGGGAGCGTTACGTCATAGGGGGGGAGGAGCGGGGGCCATGACGCCCGTCATGCCCCAAGCAATAAAAAAAACGGGCTCCAGGGCGGCGGCGGCGGCGGTCAAGAGGGCGCCTGCCCGCACCTCCGGCAGAAGCGCTCGTCCGGCAGGAAGACGTTGCCGCAGTCGCACGACGGGGGCTGCGAGGAGGAGGCCTCCCCTCTTGGCGGCGCGCACGAGGAGGGGGGGGGAAGGGGGGGGAAGGGGGGGGGGGGGAATGAAGGGGGGCGGAAGGGGGGAGGGGGAAGGGGGGGGGGAAAGGGGGGGGGGGAAGTGGGGGGAAAGGGGGGGGCGGCGCGCACGAGGAGGAGGGGGGTGGGAGCGGGGGGAGTGAAGGAGCCCAGGGACACAAACAAATAGACACAAAATTCCAGGATGCCCCATATTCTCCTTTCCGGGATGCCCGTCTTCCCCATCCACTTCCCACACTTTCCCATGTTCGTATGGGCATCGACGACTATTTGGGTCTGTGTGCGTCTTCCCCTCCTGGACAAGGGGGGTAGGGGGAGAGAGGAAGGCTTCTTCGAGGGAGGCTGCTTCTTGGAAGGCTCCATGGACAAAACCCGCGCCTTCCGAGAAGCCGAGGCGCTGCTAAGGAAGCCTGCCCCCCTCCCCCCGCCCCTCTCTGCGCGAGGCCCCCCCTCGGCGCTCCCGACCCAGACGTAGGTCGGGCATGTCCCCTCCCCCTACAGGCGGGTTTTCGATGATACATGAAGTCAAAAACAACTCAAAAATACAACAAAAACGTATAAGATAATAGTAATAATACGAATAATGATAATAGTAATAATAAGAATCATAATCCTTAAAAGAAAAGTAATAATAATGATAAGAATGAAGATAATGATAATACGGATTATGCTGAAAAATATAATGATAAAGGTAATGACAAACTAATAGTAATGATGATATTATAATAATAATAATAATAAGAAGAAGAAGAAGAAGAAGAAGAAGAAGAATAATAACAGTAATAATAATAATAATACTAATAATACTAATAATAATAATAATAATAATAGTAATGGTAATAATAATATAATAATAATAGTAATAATAATTAATAAATAAATAAATAAACAAATAAATAACAATAACAATAACACTAACAATAATAATGATAATAAATGACAGTAATAATAATGAAAATAACAAAAAATAACAAAAATAATAATCATTATGTCCCGAGACTATGATTTTACTATCTTTGGATATCCCCCTGTAGGGGGACACGCCGGACTCAGGCCCAGATCCCCTCGCGTCGCGATGAGAACACGACGTGGGGCCTCTGGCGGTGCGCGCGGCCCGCGGGGGGCTCTCGCGCCGGGCCCCGGAGCCGTCAAGACACGACCGGGGACAAGAAGCAGGTCCTGGGGAATATAAACGAGCGCGCTCCACTACTCTCAAGTCGGGCCTGTCCCCCTACAGAGGGATTTTCGACGAAAAATAGAAAATACCCCCAAAATAATCAAAAAATACTCAAAAAATAGTCTGGGGACTATTTCTTTAATATGTGTTTGCCTTTTTGGGGTATTTCTGGGGTATGTTTAATTTTTCGTCGAAAATCCCCCTGTAGGGGGACACGCCCGACAGAACACTACTCGCAAAGTAGCTACTTGCAAATGGCCTGGATCCGCCGCGGGGGATCTACGATAAATTGCATCGAAGCAGACATGTGGTCTTAGGGCGTCTGCGAGGAGGCGCTTTGCGAGTGGTGGAGCGCGCTCGGTGAGAATATGGGTCGAGGCCTCTGGGGGTCCACGTTGTACCAAAAAAAAGCGGTGGTCTCAGGACGGGAAATTTGGAGGCCTGGAAATGGGCACCAACACCAACGCAGGGGGTTGCCTCCACAGGGGGGAAGACTATCCTAGATTTCGGTGTTGGTGGTAATATGTCGGTCACCTTGGATGGCAGACTTTTACCACCACTACCGAGATCGGGAAATTCGTCCCTCGGTGGAGGCACACCGCCGATATGTGTTGGTGTCGTCAACCTCCAGGCCTGCGAAATCTGCATACACATACATAAGACTTTCGGAGTTCCGTGCGGATTTCTTCGATCAAGCCGGACACCCCACTGGCGGCGCCGCCGCTGGCGCGCGGGGGGGGTCCAGCACTGGTCCGGGAGATCCGCGCGGAGCTCTGGAGGGTTATGTCTGTGCACTCGTTCAATGTTCGAGACGTGGGCACGGAAGGAGGAGGAGGAACAGGACGAGGAGGAGGAGGAGGACGAGGAGGAGGCAGGAAGAGGAGGCAAGAGGATCCGCCGACACCCGGCTGCCGGGGGTGAAAGAGCGTGCGATGCATTTGGCTGTCCCCCTCCTCCTATCCCCCTCCCCTGGGACCCAGAATCCAGTTGAAGGGGGGCGGGGGGGTCTTCGAGCTCGCCAACGCGCCCCCGGGGCCTCCAGAGCCCCCTGAGAAACCCCAAGGCAGCCCCGCAGGGCCCAGACAGAGCGCCAAGACAGTCGAAGAGAGCGTCATGACGACCCAGGGTAGCCCCACGACGATCCAAGATGGCTTCAACATGGCCCACGAGGGCCCCAAGACACCCGAAAAGCGCCTCCAGAGGATCGCCGAGAGGGCCCCAAGAGGCCAAAATCATCCAATTCCCTTGGAACAAAAAACATGTGTGCAGCACATTCGCATTTTACGTTTTGACTGACAGCGAACACGACGGCCCAAGTGGAGAGGAGAGGAGAGGAGAGGAGAGGAGAGGAGAGGAGAGGAGAGGAGAGGAGAGGGGAGGGGAGGGTAGGGGAGGGGAGGGGAGGAGAGGGGAGAGGAGGGGAGAGGAGGGGAGAGGAGAGGAGAGGAGAGGGGAGGAGAGGGGGAGGGGTCTTTACTGAGGGAGGTTGAGGATGAGGATGAGGATGAAGAAGAGGTCCTTAACCATCTCGTTTAGTCCTGCCTCACTCATCACTCTGCACATCCCCCCCATCCGCGCTTCCAAGTTTGACCCGACACATCCAATTCTCTGGCCCGTCGTTTCTGCACATGCCTGCCCCAGTCCGACCGATCATTCTCCCCGTCCCTCCTGTGCCTAATCATACGCCTCCTCCCGCTGCTGCTGCTGCTGCTGCTGCTGTTGTTGTTGTTGTTGCTGTTGCTGATATTGATTATGATGATGATTGATGATGATGATGATGATGGTGGTGATGATGATGATGATATGATGATGATGATGATGATGATGATGATGATGATGATGATGATGATGCTGATGATGATGATGATGATGATGATGATGATGGTGATGATGATGATGATGATGCTGATGATGCTGATGATGCTGATGATGATGTTGATGATGATGATGATGCTGATGATGATGATGATGATTCTCTGTGGCGAATCCGGCGTTCCGAATCCGAATTTCCGGTCGGCTCGCGAGGGGCCGCTGCGGTGCAGTTGAGAGCCCACGCCTACACAACAGCTCGAGCCTAAACGCGTACGGTTGAAATGCGAAGCGCGTGACCCCAACAGCGATGTTAACAAATCGTCCCCCCCATCTCTCTGCTACCTGCTTCACGCTCGGCTGCTTCACGCTCGGGTGCTTCACGCCTGGGTGCCTCGCAGAAATGATGAGCCCACTCAAAGACTGGGAGCTGCTCAGTCTCAAGGGCAGAAAGGTTATATCCGGAAATGCGGTGGCATCGAGGGCGCCCCAGCGACGCTGGCTCCCGGGCATGCCGCACATGCTGATCCGGACCCTTGAAAACTGGGCCCGGGGCGCTCGACCAGGTGGTGAAGGAGAGCGGACAGGCAGACTTCATTCCTTGCGACCGTTATGCTGTCTAGTGGATGTGCTGGAAGCCCCCAGGTTTTCAATCAATTGCCTGCTCCGCTCAAAACTCACATGCCAGCTACTGTGCCCAAAAGAAGGATGCGGCGCGCCGCAGCCACCCGGCAGGTCCAGACGCGGCTAAAGCCAAGCTGTTTCTGGCGGCCTGGGTGGCGGCCGACGCCCCCCATTTCGCTGCAAACGCACCGGCAGCGGAGCTGAATGCCTGAGTTCCCGCCTGCCACTTCCACGCTTCACACTCCTGGTGGGCCATGTACACACCTGTGAAAAAAAAACAATCGTAAGATGGCACTCAGCGCAGCTTCCGCGCCGTGTCCCAAATGAGCTGAATGCGTTCCTTCTTAGGGCGCGGGATGCTGGCACCACGATGATGTTTCTTAAGGAACTTGTCTACCCTTTTGACGACGTCTGGCTTGCTCGCCCAGACGGCCTCAAGGCCCTCGGTGAGCTCCTTGAGCGCGCCGCTCTTGAGAGACACTTTGTCGCTCATTGCCAACTCCAGCAAAGCGATCTGAGTGAGATTCAACACCTGGTTATCTTCGATTGCAGGCGGAGGCGGGGCATGCACTGCGGCGGGGGCGGCTGCGCTCCTGGATGCCCCCAGTCCGGGGACGACGTTCTGAGCTGCTGCCGCCGTGGCCGAGGAAAGCTGGGGCGCAGTCGCGTCCGCAATGAGCTTGCCTTGGCGGGCGTACTCCTCATCCCGCTCCTCCTGTGCCGAATCCTTCAAATACGCGCGAAAACGCTTCGAGTGACAGGCCAGGTACTTCTCGGCTACTTTCACATTCCTAGTATCGCTGGAGGACGCGGAGCTGGAGTCCTTGGTATGCTTCTTGGACTTTTTGGAGCCGTGCTCGCGGCTGCCCCGCCGCTTGTCCACGCGCTCCTCGGGGCCAGAGGTCACGGAAAACACCAAGCAACAAGGCCCCCAAAGAGGTAGCAGAAAACTTGAGTTCTGATGCACCCGGAGGCCTCACCAGGAACGTGTTCCCAGAGGCCTGAAAAGGACTACAGCAACGATTTTCCCGTGGCCCCCGAGCTCTCCCGAGCAGCATGCCAATCAAACTGACGCGAGTGCGAATCGCGACGTTTGCTGCCTCCCGGGCCCCACATGGCTCTCAAAATGGACCGATAGAGCGCACCGAATGCTGCAATGACCCGATGCTGCGCCGAGCCAAAACCAATGCTGCGGAAGGCGGGACGCCATGGATTAAAGCTTTGACGAACGATAGGGGGCAGGACAAGCGCAAAAGTTCCAAGAGAAACTCAAAAACTATGAAACTCCTCAGGGCTGGCGCGACCTCCAGCGCGGCAGCTCGCACGAACCACCCTATCAACATGGACCGGAGCCTTTTGAAGGAGGTCGGAGGCCAGCCCATCCAGGGGGGGAGATTGGACTTCTGACGGGGGCCGTCCGTCAGCACCCACCCCCTGTTCGGATTCTTCAATGTCCATGAGAACGCGCCGTGCCAGAAATGCAATTCGATGTCAAGCCATTCAAAGACCCGGAGCCCTCGCGCGCCGTCACTGGCGCGTACGACGCGCAACTTTCCAGCGCACACCTGACCGAAGAACGCGCCGAGGCAGCTCGGGCAATAGCAGAATGAGAAAGCCAAAAGATCATCGACATACAGGCACCAAAATATCCGCTTGAGGACCGCATCTTTCCCTGACATCGGGAAACCTGGGATCTGCCTGGAACCCCCAAGGACAAGCGCCCTCGTAACCTAACCCGACAGACACTGCTGCTGAGCTGAGGACGCCGCCGATCGCTAAGCCGTGCTGCTTAATCACGAGTGTGCTCTGACATGCAAAACTCAAAACGGCGGCCGCTTGGAGACAAGCACCGAGGAGGGTGAGGGAGAGGCCCACCATCCTCGAGACCAAGCGCGGCCCCGAGGAATCCTGAACACAAATGCTTTCGATTTCTGGACAAATATGGACGTGAACCCAATTTGTTCCTGGTGCCGCGTGGCTGCGTGCATCCAGGCAGGCAGCACTCGTTCTGCCGCGCATGCCTCGAATGCCTGGTCCACGTCTGCTGAAAAAGCGCTGAGTCCAACTACGGGTTTGGAGCATCTAGCGCAGCATCCCGTGGGGCTCGCCTCCAACTGGGCCAAGCCTCCATTGATGATGGGGATCGCGTCGGCCATGCTGAATACTTCGCACGATAAGCACGACCTGCACAACAGCCCGGACGCCCCGCGCAACCGCGCGCCAGGCGCGCGCAAACGGAACCTGGCTCGCATCCACGAGGCGTCGAAGGCAGCTGTGCCCTGCCTTTGCTCAGGTCTGGATGCCCTCGTCAGAGAGGCACTTGCTTTTGACGAATGCGAAAATCTCAGGAGGCGTCGTGCCCTGGCTCCTAGGGGTTGCTCGGCCCAGCAGACATGACGGCAGGAGTGCGCATGCGCGAGCGTACCCCCAAGCCAGGACATCCTTCCTGCGAAAGTCTGGCGCCATGGTCCACATCGGATCCACGTTGATCGCGCTCACCAGATGAGCGAACAACTCGTCCACAGCGACGGACCACACTTTTTGCAAGTCTCTGTCATCAAGAAGAAAGGCGTCGGAACTCGAAAGGATGCGAGCGAATTCGCATTCTTGCGCGTGCCATGCAGGAGGGCATGGAGGCACGCACTGCCGCCCCATGCAAATGTGACGCTAGCGACCGCCGCACGCGAGGATGGAGACGAACACGTCCAATCCTTCCATGCTCGAATCAGCTGGCGGCGGACATGCCCTTGTTTTGGCCACATGGGAAGGCGCCAAGGCGCCCCGTTTGCCAGAAGGGAGGGCATGCCAGCCGCAGCCCCGCTCTCAGCGTGGGATCTGGCAAGAAGGCGCTCCGGATCGAAAGCCTGCAACTGACGTTTGCCATTGATGCGATTAAACCACACCTTGGCGCGCGGGGAACGCACGAACCTGATACAGTGCTTCTCTCACTAACTCGCGTAGCAACCCGAATCGGTGCATCAAGGCAGGATGCACTATCAATGTTTTTACACGAAGCGGGGGCAAATGGAACTTCCGCAGGGTCCGCTCCAACGTCGCGCGAGCCCTGGCTTGCGGCGCAGCTCCCTGCAGCGCCTCCGACAACGAGCTGGCCAGGCCGCACACAAGATGAGATGGTTTTCCCTGCCCCCATCCTGGGGGCAGGTCCAGGCTGCCAGCGGTGCGTGCGC